GAAGAGGGACTGCCTCTGACATAATCTAATTGGCCTGCTCTTTGATCACCTCCCCCTGAGGGGGGAGCATCCTTACCAGGCCACAGAAGATGACAATGCACCCACTTCTGACGAGAATTGATAGACTAAGATCAGAAAGAAGGAGAGGAGGCCCTCCCCTATCAGTGGACTTGGGGAGGGGCATGTATGCAGAAAGGGGAGAGAGGGTGGGATCGGGAGGGGAGGAGGGAGGGGATTATGGGGGATACAAAATGAATAAAGTGTAATTAATAAAAGTTAAATAAAAATTTAAAAAAATAAAAAAATGTTCTGTTCTGCTTAAAATCTGGTACTCTGGGATAGGCATTGGAGAAAGGAGAAAACAGGGAACAGGATAGGAGCTTACCACAAAGGGCCTTTGAAAAACTCTACCCTGAAGAGTATTGAAGCAGATGCTGAGAATCATAGCCAAACTTTGGGCAGAGTGCAGGAAATCTTATGAAAGAAGGGGGAGATAGTAAGGTGTGGAGGGGACAGGAGCTTCACAAGGAGAGCAACAGAACCAAAAAATCTGGACCCAGGGATCTTTTCTGAGACTGATACTCCAACCAAGGACCATGAGTGGAGATAACCTAGAACCCCTGCACAGATAGAGCACCTGTAGGTCAAGGGTAAAGCCCAGAGTCAGGTCCACATGAGACAAAGGAGACAAGTGAGGTCTACAAATGCCACACACCTGGGACAGGGGAGCCAGGGTATCTGGTATGCTGTAGCCAAGGGAGGAGGGAAATCCCAGACTACAATGCTCAATGGGACTTAGACATAGTCCTTTTGACAAACTGGGAAACTAAAGAGAATTTTTGCCCTATATGTTCTAAAGGAGTTGCCATCAGAAATGGGTGGGTGGCATGCCAGGAACTATGCAACTTTCAAAGAAGTGACTTACAAACCATTGACAAAACCAGGCCCAGGTAACAGGCTTCCCTTTGGCTGAGAGTCAGAAGGTAGTGCTGAATGCACAAGAAACAGACCATGAAGGAGCCTGGGGAGGTACGGGACAGCAGGTAAATGACATCTGAGATTTACCAGGCACCATAATATCCAGGAAACTCTGTGGATGTCTGTGGCTAGAACAGTGGGGTAAAATGAACCAGCTTCTTAAATGACCACTGCCAGCAAGTGGTCTATTTGCATTTATTTGAGCTGGGAGAACATACACTCCCCCCAAAAGTGATCTGAAAACTAATCACACTCTGTTTTCATGTGCGGAACTTCCACTATGTGAGTAGAACAGACATTCTCTGTCCTTGAGAATTTATGGTCAAGGGGTAGTAAGGGGAACAGTGCCTTGAGGACTCTGGCTTTCCCGTCGAAGGAAGCTAGTGTTTATAAAGAAGACACCAGGATTTGCATCAGTCTTGTAAAACAGGAAAGTCAAAACTGCTGCTCTTTACAGGTCGGTGTCATGATCCAGCCGTCTCTGTGCAGTTTCAGTTAGAAGCAGCTCGCAGCTTGTTTTTCAAAATAGGGTTTCTCACAATTCACTTATGCATTTGATTCTTTTAGGAAAAAAAAGCTGGTGCACTGAGCTATTAAAAATAATATGTATTAAAATTAAACTTTACTCTGAATTAAATTTTAAAAGGAAGGACTTTTTTTTCTGAAAATACTTAGACCTGCTGTATGAGTTAGCTAGCCTGCTAGAGATTAATGGAACTTGTTTGTCATTTACAGGTATTTGAAGGCTAAGCTTGTCATGTGACTCTAACAGGCCTCTAGCTTTCAGCACAATGTTCCATGCTTCTGCCTGGGCTGTGTGCAAGTTTTACAGCAGGGCTTTCTGCAGGACCCTATGATTCCAGGCTGGTTTCTTACTGGAAAGTGTTTTTGGCCACTGAAAATTTTCTTTTGAGAGAAACAAGTTGACTAGTGAGCAATGGAGACTCACTAAGAACAGTTATACACATGGCGCCTTCACCTACCGGCAGGAACTGCGACTGCAACTCCTACTGCGTAGGCACAAAGACTCAGGGTTTAAAGAGGGAACAGATTAGACCAAAAGGAGAACATTAGGTCAGTAGAACAAATGAGGGCACTGCATTGTGACTCATTTGGTACAAAGGAATAAACCTGAAGATCGAGGCAATAAGCCTGGGCCTTTCTGTAGCCTGAAAGCCTAAGCACTAACACACAAAACCCAGAGATTCTGATTTGGGCCCAGACAATACAATAAGGAAATGCCAGAATACAACAACTTTTAGACTCATATTGCTCAATGACTGTCAAAGTTATGTTTTACTATAGTATGCTAAGGGCACAAAAGCAGTTGTCTTAAAAACTGCACATGCTTAATTAAGAAAATTTCATATAATGCTGCTTATCATATGAACTGTGAGAACAAATTCACAGGTAGACTCTCTTGAGGCTGGACTGATGGGATTCAGCTATTTGAGGGTATAAAGCTAAAATGCAATTAAGTGAGGTACTTTTATGACATGGGGGAAAGGAGTAGCCAAACCACAATATAGTCAATTCAGGCTTCTGTGTGAAAGTTTCTAGAAGCAGTACCATTTAAAAGCCAACTGATGCTGGCTACAGTTTCATCTCAGACCTGTAATTTTGTTATGTTTGACTGTTTTCACTTGTGTTTAAACATGTTATTTATAATAAAGATCCTTAAATACTATACTCCTGTTGGCATGGAATTCTTTGTGCCACTTGCATTTTTAAATAGTATTCTTTGTGCCATACAAATTCATATATTGATGGCCTCAACACCAAAGTAATTGTATTAGGTAGCAGAGTCTTCTAAAGGAAATCATTTCATTAGAGTGAAACTTTTATAATCCAACCCTCACCCTTCTTACAAAAGGTCTCATCCTAGCACCTGGGAAGCTGAGGCAGGAAGATCAGGAGTTTGAGGCTAGCCTGGCTAATAAGACCATTTTTCAAAATATTCAATTAAAGAGACATAACACAGAAATCCCTCTCTTCTAATAAGGATGGCATGAACAGGTGACCATCTCCAAAACAGTAAGAGAGCTCTTCCCAGACATCATGCAGCTGACACTTTACTGTTGAACTTAGCCTCCAGAACCAGGAGATACAGGTTTCCTTGCCAGTGGCAGCCCACCATAACCAATATGCAGAAATGATGAAGGCACTCATCAGCATTACAACCAGAGTTCCTATGTGTCAGCCAAGCTCACTGGTGATCATCACAAGTCTAATGAGAGTAAAGATGACAACTGGTGGGAACAGAACAGAAGGTTCTAAGTTCAGGCATTGTCTGACTCAGCTCTGCCCCTCAGCATCCCCTATCTCAGGGCCAGATGAAACCTCAGCTGTGTCTAGAAGTCCAAAAGGAAAATTTGTCTATGTCACATTAACCTGATCATTTATGATGAGAAAAACAGGAATACCTTCCAGAAGATCCAGTCCACTTTCTCTACAAATCTACCATAAGTCAGGCAGTCTTCTGGTTTTTCAGGACAAACAAAGCCATTCAAGGAGACACAATCCCTCAGTGGCAAGCATTTTTTAACTCTCTTAAAAGAAAAACAAATGAAGAGGAAGAGAGAAAGAAAGAGTAGGAGGAGAAGATGATGAAGAAGAAGAAGGAGAAGGAGGGGAAGATGAAGAGGAAGAATGAAGAGGAGGAGGTAGAGGAGAAGAAAGAGAAGGAGAAGCAGCAGAAGAAGGAAGATCCTCTTTTTAACTTCCTAAGATGACTTTATTAGTTGCTCCTTTTCTGGGTCAGTTCTGCAAACTGTTGCTCCTAGAAGTTGTGTCACATGACTTTCTCTTTATGATCCTTCTACTATTCCCCAGTCTTCCCACTGACTGGTCGCCACCCATTCCTGTCCCATCCAATGGTGGCATCCTTCCTTGCATTATTGACCACTCAGCACTGCTTATCCATCCTAAACAATCCTGTATCCTCCAGTATTCACAGTATCCCTCTACTGTGCAGCATCCAATGCTGAAAGACCCTGTCCAGCCAAGAGAAATGGGAGCCTCCCAGGTATACCTATCACCACATCCCTCTACTGGTACCTATCTCATCAGTTCTTCATCAATTTTTTTGGTGATGTGTTTTACGTACTGGTTGGTTTATTACCTGCATGTCCCTTTAAGAGTGTGAGCCCCAGGAGAGCAGGATGGTAACAATCTGTTCACCACATACTCTCAGCGTGCCAAATAAAGTCAAAAGACAGTGGAAAGAAAACAAATCATTGCAATTTCATGAGTAATAAACACACAATTATATATTGAGAAATTTCAATAAAGGAATAATACAGTATTCACAACCACATAAAAAGGTAACCATATTTTGTGAGGAAGTGCCAAGTATATACCACACTACCAAAAGAGTGGGTGGAATACATTCCATAGCAAAATCTATTTGTCTGGGTCTAGAAAGATAGAGCAAAGACAGTTTCCAAGGCAGGGCTATGCACCTTGCTCTATCAGTGTAATACAGGGGAGATAGAGCATGCTTTCCAGTCAGCATGTACTTTGGACTCTAAAGAAGTCTACTTGCCATCTACAGTTTGATAAGCACTCTTCCTGCCCTGCATATGAAACACTTGCAGTGTGGTTTCTTTCCTCAAAAATTTCCATGGACCTTTGTCAGGAACAGTTTGCAGTGAGCACTCCTGTGCATCAATCAGAAATGAGCGAGCATAAAAATCTCCGGAAAACCTTTCACCCAGCAGAATCCTCTAACAAAGCATTCTATTGTTTTATCTAGTCATACCAAAAGCTACTGAAGAACAAAAATAGTTAAGAAAGGAGGCACTGTCTTCTTACCTAAATTCCTGATTAACACAGTCAAGAGAGAGTGCAAGTAAGATTTCCAAGAGGAATGTATAGGTTGACAAGGATAAGCATGCATCGTGGGTTCTGCTTGTTGTGACAGAACACAGACACGTGGCTATGCTTGAAGCTGAGTGTTTGGAATTTAAGACATGGAATGAGAAGATGGCAGAAAACCATCTAAAGGAAGGCAGAGTTCCTACCTGTGGCCAGATAGATGATGTGGACAAGGGTGTCTCTGCCTTGCACAACGTCCACGGCCAAGTGGGAGAAGCGGCTGTTGTCCTCCATGAAGGCGGGCACCGTGGTCACTGGCTGCACCACCTCATGCATCAGAATGAACTTCTGAGCATCTTGTAGGTTTCTCTCTGTCAGGTTTACATACAGGCCCTGGTCCATGGTGCCGCACTGCAAGGGAAGACAGGCCATATTATAAAAGCCAGCCACCTGGATGCCCACAGCTCATTTGGCTACTAAGTGGAGGGGTAAACAGAGCAAGCTGCAAACTGACTAAACCATGATGCATGATTGAGTGTGTAAATGACTCAGTCCTTCCACCTCCATTCATCTTCTCATCCCTCCTGTTCTCCAACTACAGGTGGAAACTCATCATATTTGGAATCTCTCGATGGATGGTAGAGAGGATATGAGACATCTTAAAATGGAGAAGGCACTATTGTTGATTTGAATTTGAACAGCAGATGTAGCGAATCTCCTACTGGTCTGTCAGGCCTCTTAGTAGCTGCCTGTTGAATTTCAATACAATTGTATCTGACTTATGAAGTTGAAGTGACATTGAATATGCACAGTTGAGCACATATAGACGTATGTACTTTCTTGATATCACAGCAGGTTGGTTCATAAGCAACTCTGAACTCCATAGTGATACCTTGGTGCTTATCTTAATCTGGAAACAGTATCACTCACGTGGGCTACAGAAATACTATGGCTGGTCTAAGTTGACTTGATTTTACAGTTAGAGGAGATTTTAAAGAAATAGGTCAGAACCTGAGAATTTGCCACTGAAGACAGCAAGTTGGTAATGAGAGAAGAAGACAAAAGCAGTGGAGAGAGGAAGGATGAGAAAGGCAGGGAAGAGAGAAATGGAGAAAGAGGAAGGAAGGAACAATTTGTAGGAAGTGACAATATTATGAAGCTGATATGGAATACACAGGGGAAAAGGAAGCCCAGAAACTGTTGGGAATTAATCTCAGAGTTACGCTGGAACGAGGTTGACAAGGGTTTCAAACAAAAGGAGCAAGGACAAGTTAAGAGAGCTTGTGGGAAAGAGAACACAGAATTCTCAGAGCCAGCTCAGAAGCAGAAACTTACTGTCAGCCTTTCTCATTTTCTTTATAAACTTTAAAATCTGGTATAGATTTTAAAGTGGGATCCTTAGCAGCACTCTCTCTAGCAGGGGTGATGTGGTCTATTATGCCTGAAACTACCATTTATAACATGTCCTTTCCAATACTTGGCTTTTATAACAGGTTAGAGGTCCAGGAGTATAAGATGGAAATTGCCTTTCGAAAGTACATTATATTTTCATAGCATTTGATAAAATACCCTATATGCCATAAAATGACAGGCTGATCGTGGAGTTAGAGAAACCTGGTGGTAAATGAACTGCACACAACTAGTCCTGTGATTGACTTAATTCTACATACTTGTTAGGAACACCTTGGCATCGTGTAAGGATGTGTTCAGGGTAAGGCTGAGACCTGCAGAAGATGATCTGTGGCCTCAAGGAAGGCCTGGCCTCTCAGTTTGTCTTCTTAAATGCTAAATGGTAGGAACACTGCAGCTCTGCTCCTGTCTCATGTCTCATGGCTGATGTGAAAACTCAGGTAATGAGACAAAAGTGCTTTTTAAATTAAAGTCGTTGTAAATGCCAGGAATGAGACAACATTCCTGATAGCTCAGAAGCGATCCAACCAATTGTAACTGCATCTGTCTTAAAGCATGCAGGATATCCATGGTGCATGGAGCTGTGGTCTCCAGAGAGGAATAAGTGAATGAATAACAGGACCAACAAATGAACAAATAATTCCACATGCAGTTGCTTCAGGGTCTGGGAATAAATAGTATCTTAAAAAGAACACTCTGAGAATGGGCACATTAGCTATACAGAATGTTGTTGTTGTTGGTTTTTTTTAATATGTTAGTTGTTATTACTTTTAAGTGTTACTTGATGTGGGTTCTGGGAATTGAACTTGGGTCCTCTGCAAAGGCAGTGTATGGTCTTAAAAGCTGAGCCATCTCAGCAAGCCTCTGGAAATAGTTTTCAAAAGTCAAAAATATCACCTCTGGCTCTGCAGCCTTTCCAGGCAAGAGCTAGTTCTGAAGGATACTGACTGTGTGGCCAGCTTGCACTGAAGTCAGAGGCAATGCAGGAGGCGTGGGCAGCAACGATGACCTATTTGCTGGCTTCAGTCACATAAAAGTACTGTTGATATATGCATGGTGCTTCAAAACAAACGCCATGCTGGAAACCCCGAAGTGTAGTCTAAAAGCAACAACCTCCTACTGGCCTTGGAAAATAGATACAGGAGGATGCGGGGAATTCAGAGTGCTGAGAAGGACCATCTTTATTCCTGGAGACCATGTTTCCTGCAAGTTGCCTGCCTGTCTTGTCATGAACTGTATTTGCAGTGTTTTCTGCCACTTCTTTCCTGTTGCTATACTATAATAAACACTTCACCCCAAGATTCTCTTTCCAATATTTGGAATTATTCAAATTTACTGGTTGTATATTTTGCTACATAGCACCTCACCTATGCAGCTCAATCTAAGGGCTGAAAATTGTCCAGCTGAGCCTTATGCACTGGTCTGCCCTAGCTACTCTTAGAAACTGTGCTATTCTGGGGCCCCATGCAAAAGGAAACCACACAAATGGAAAGAGCGTAGCTTGCTCCTCATGTGCCTTACAGCCTGCAGCAGTTGCTGTGCCAACGCATGTTCGAACAGGATCAGTAATTGTATTGCTAGGAAAACAAGACATGCTTGTGTGCTATCTATTTCAAGGGCATCATGGCCATCCCTGTTCCAACACACTCACGTTTGATGATCAAGATCAAAACAGACTAACTTGGGGGGGGGGTGAGACCAGGAGAGGAGGAGGGAGGCGCTTATGGGGGGATACAAAATGAATAAAATGTAATTAATAAAAATTAAATAAAAAATTAAAAAAAATGGACTAACTTCATCCTACTCTAGATGTCTTTCATGGTGCCTCTGCCCACTGGCCCCTGTTCCTTCACATTGTGCTGCCAAGACATGTGAGCATGCGTGGAGCCTCAGGATGCAGCTAAATCTCAGCCTGTGGTTCCCAAGCAGGCTTCCCTTCTCTGACTGCCCCTGCACTCCCATTTTTTTTCATTTTGGCTGCATCATTTCTGATTGTTGGTAATAAAGCCCGTGAAAGGTTCTGGAGCCTGTCGCTCCAGCTGTTCTGCAACTGTGTCTGGCAGTGTTTTAAGTGGCTAATGATTTTATGGGGCTCAAGATATTTTACCTCTACTAAGGCAGACAAATGGCACTAAGGTTTACTAGTAGCTTTTGCTGTGTTGTGGGTTTTAATTGAGCTTTTGAAATATGTATATCTCTTCCTAGATCTTTTTTCCTGAACCAGTTCCTCCAGTTAATTCATGTTTTCCTGTTATATGAGTGCTATATAAAATTCTAGTTGTCAAAGGAGAACCAAAATAACAACAACAATAATAAACAATAATAAATATAAATATAATCATTACTTATTGTCAATGATGGGCTACATATATGTCTAATGGTGGGATCTTTAGTGCAAAATGAGTTCCCATGCTTGGCCAGTCTGGGTGAGAGCCTGAATATCAGTCAGGAACCTACAACAATGTAGCTATTAAACACATCTAGAAATAGATACACACATCTGTAGTAGGACACACACACCTGTAATAGGACACAATACACACACACACAGACACACACACAGACACACACACAGACACACACCAGCACTACCGTCATAATCTGTAACTTTAGCTTCCTGGAAGTTTTAAATCTATGCTCAGAGGATGATGTAATAAGAGCCAGCTTATTAAGTGGCATGTGTGCCATCTCTGTGCATGCCTCCTTCACTGTTCAGCATGAACCTGCTTCCACTAATAGCAAGCCCTTCAGTGTGACTCTGGCATTGTAACACACGAGGGAACTTACATGTACTATGGATATATCTGGATGCATGGGCTAAAAGATACACGCTGTGTGGAGTTTATAAAGGATTATAAAGTTGGCCGACTCAGTTCATTGTGGAGAGCAGTAATTCAACAATAATGCAATGGAAGATGCTATAAATACAAGTGGTTTTGTTTATTTCTCTAAACTTCAGGACTTAATAAAACAGATTTTTAAAAAGGGATAATATATTTTCTTCTTTATATTACAAACGAAGTCTGTCAAAATATATCATTATTCAACATGTAACACACAGAAGACTCCAGAGAGATGGTTCTCATGGGCCCTTTCGATAGAATGCACCCTTCAGCAATAATGCAACTTGACTGACTCTTCCAAAGTTTATTTGTATCCCTCTCTCACCTTTTTATTAAGGAGGTCATGAGAAGATGCTAAAACATTTTGCCCAAGGAGAGCAGTAAAGGGCAAATATGATATGCAATGTAGTTATCTTATTCTTAACCCCCTCCTCTGTCAAAAATCTTAAAATAGTCAACAAATGAAAAAAAGTTTAAATGTAATTGATTGACGCTTATGAAAATCTAAGTGCAAAAATTTGAACTTTTTCTTAAGCCTAGTGTCCTTGGAAATCACAGGTTTTATGATTTGGGATGACAAACCAACCAAATTTGAAAGGAAAGATTCAATTATATTACTGGTCAATGATCCCTACTAAGACATTTAGTTGGTTGAAATCAGAATTTTGCCTTTGTTGGTAGATGTAGCATCACTAATCAGATGTGTCTACTTGACCTGCCTCAAGACTCCATGCCCCTCTCTGTATGCATAGAACAATGTCACTCATGTGGTGTTGATGCCACATGTATGGTTATACAGGTGACACATTGGAAAAGTGTCTGGAGCTTGATGATGTTAAATTTTTGTCTGTGTCAGTCATAGCTGGCCTACAGGGAAGGCTGCTCTTGTTTGTGCTGTGCCCAAATTCATATGTGAAATCTATTTCTCAGCATGGCAGTACTTGAAGATAGGACCTCTAGGATGCATTCAGTGCCATATGAATCATGCTCTGACCCAACGGGTGGAGAAAGGAGCACCAGGGATGAGTCTTTCTTCTAAGGGATGATACAAGGAAAAACTCGACTTCCTTAACACCTACCCAGAAAATGATCCCACTGTCATATTGACCCTGAAGGTATAGTCTACAAAACTGTGGTAAAATAGATGGTGGTTTTCTTTTGCTTTTTTAAAATACCATATAAATTGTGGTATTTTGTTACAGTAGCTCAAGCAGATGAATGTACATGTTATCCAAACAAACAAAATAAATAGCTCTATCCCTGGGTCTCTGCTCCTTCTGAGCATCAGAGGTGGGATGACTCACAAAGCATACCACAGCTTGAATCTTTTAATTGGTGGCTGAAAGATGAATCAACATCAGCCAGGCCTCTTTTCTCAGCAGCCACTGCCACAATCCACCTTCCCAACAGGAAGCCTCACCATACTTGCCAATTAAAGCTCTAATTCTGTTTGTCAAGACCCAGTGCTCTGTGCCCTGGGCCCTATTCATTGGAACACCATTCATTAGGGATCAGAGATTTGGGGGACACAGTCCATCATCATTAGTACTAATTGATGCCTGGATTCCTAGCCCACTGCAGAAGACTGCCCTTTTTCAGTTAAGGATCAGTCATCATAACTCACAAAAGGCCCCCTTTTTCTTGTCTAGGCGCCGTAGTCCACAAAGGGCTATGTTCTATTGACATTAGCTAAGCCACGGGTGGTGCTGTCCCCCAGGGGCTAGGAGACTGCAGCTGCGCTGTGTGTGTAACCAAATTTTAATTGCTTAGGCTTTCAACGTTGGGTTTCTACATTCCTAACGGACACTCAGAATGCCCTTTCCCCTGAGATTACCTGAAAACTGGGGTTGGGGTTGGGATAAGGCAGCCAGGCTGAACGAGAGTTCTCTTGGTACTTGAAGGGTCCATTGAAGGCCTGTGAGATGGCGCTCAGGTTGAAGACACATACAGCAGAGGCAGCAATGCTGTTCCTGGAGAATGAGAAAGGAGAAGGAATAGGCTGGTCAGAGCCCATCAGTGACCACTGACTTCCACTGATCCCTATGGTAGCATCTGCCTTTAGCTATTTCAAGCTCTAGACTCTTATGTATACCAAAAGAAGGAAGTCAGGGCAATGCCTGGGGCTGCCTTGAGATTTTTTTCATGTAAAAGCAAACATGCAGATAATGAACTAAGGGTACATAGCCAATATGACCCTGCCAGCTGGGGCTAAATTTACTCAGCTACAACAGGAACAACATGAGATTTGAAAAGCTTCCTGAATTTTAAATTCTGGAGGAAAGAGGCTTTGTCTTCCAGTGGGTGGAATATTCCATCTATATTGCCACCTCCCTCTTCCAACTATCTGGTTACTTTAGGTGGTAGATGGCTATCCCTCCCCCCTTTTTTCCTATTAACTCTCTAGGTATTTGTTTTTGTCATTCTTTTAAGAATATAAACTGAAAGATTTTTTTTTTGCAGTGAATGCCTGTCAGATTTGTCTTATTTATTATTTTAAAGAGACTGTAAATCTAAAGGGTCAGTAAGAAAAAAAATTAACAGAGCACTGACATGAAATTTTGAAGCCTTAATTCAGAATTCGGGCTCTACTGGAAAGCTGTAGGCAGAAGGCTCTCAGAGGTCAGTGCCCTTTGACTAAGCATGGGATGGCAAATGCTTCTTTTTCAAATTTGCATTTCAAGCTGGGCTATGGTTCTCAAAGGAAAATGAAGACCAAATGAGGGGCACGAATGTATTTTCCATATTAATTCACTGAGCCAATATTTTGTCAGAAATAAGTCAGTGTTTTTTTCTACATCTTAGAGAAAAAAAAAATTATAAGACTTATAGAACTTCAAACCTCACTATTGGGCCAACAACAAGGAAGGGAAGGACACAACTTTACAGGCTTCCCTAACTTGAATACAATCTTGCTAACTTTATAAGGTAAAAGACATGTCCATGTAAGAGACATGGAGCCTGCTCAGTGAGATCCTGACACCTGGTCAGAGACAGGGAGCAGCACCCTGGCTGCACTGCAACAAAGATCAGGATTTCAGTTCTTTGTGGGAGTTCTGTGAGAAGCTACTAAAGAACATCTCATAGAAGATGAAATTATTTTTTCTGGGAGTCCAGCACTGAGCAGAGTCCCATGTGGAGCCCAGGTGCTTCTGGTGCAAAAGATTAAAAAGAAGTGAGTGCTTAATCTGGATTTATTCATACTACTGCCTTTATCTTTCTTTTCAGCATCTTTGGAAAAGTAGAACAGGGATGTCTGTGAGGTTCAGGGAGAAAACCGACTTGGGTCATATGGCTGGACTTTGGTAATACTCAGAGAAACATCTATCCTGGGTCAAGAGCAGATACAAAGGACAACAAGATCTAACCCTGGCCAGATACCTGACAGAAGATGGGGTGTCCACAGTAATAATAATAATAATAATAATAATAATAATAATAATAATAATAATAATAATATCATCACCATGGGCCTCTTGCTAAGCACTAATTTTTCACAGTGAGCCTATAGATTCTAAAATGACCCTCAGGTTATGGACAGACACAGAGATGAAGCAACCCACGCCACAGGCTACAGAGGGTGAAGCAGACATCTCCTACTTTCTACATGACACCCAAGTCTATTTCCTTGGCCGTGTTGCAATGTTGAATCATGGTGAAATAACAACTACATGCTCTTCTCGTTAGAAACAGTGATTTACTCTGAATTGCGATGCTGTGGACATGGACGTCAGCTCAGAGACTCCCTTGGAAGTCCTAGTAGCTGCTGGTCTGAGTTGGGAAAGGTACACTTCTCTACAACCCCGCTGGGCATTGCATCATTGGTGAGGCACCCACCCACTGTCTTCTCTCTGTGTCACTTGTTCTGAAAGAGACAGGTGGGGAAGCAAGGGCTTGTATGAGTTACACGATGGCCCCTTTTTCCATCATTTTCTTCCAATCTATCTTATCTATCTTCTTGGGTCCTCTCAGCCTAAAGCATATACCCAGTTCCTTTTGTAGGGTGTCCCCCTCAGGCATGTGGACCCCACACAGCTCTAGAGGACTACATTAACCTCTGGATAAGTTATTTAAAACTGGAACCAGTATTGGTTAGCTTATCTTTGGAACAAAGGTATTCTATCTAGCCTCCACGAGCAGTCAAGGAGATTGTGTGGGGTCATTCAATACTGGATATTATCTCATAATGTTGTTTAAAGCCTAAGTGATGAAAACGATGCTGGCATGGGGCTGGCTGGATAGGTGGCTCAGCAGAAGAGTTCTTATGGCTCCTGCAGCCATACTGAGTTTAGTTCCCCACACCCTCTCTGGGTGGCTCACAGCTGCCTGTAGCTCTCTAGTTCCAAGGGATTTGGATCCTCCTCCTGGCCTTCACGGTCACTTGCATGTATGCGGTGCACATAAGCACACACATACACCTAAATTTTAAAAAGTAATAATAATTAATTTTTGTAATGATGCCAGGGACTCACTTGGTTAGTGCAGAATCACAGGGCCTTAAATTCTGTTTCCAACTAAAGTAGAAAAGGTTTCAAAAGGTTCTTATAATTATTAACTCCCTTAGAAGAACAGCACAATCAAAACAATTTTAAAGACCTCCCAAACAACTTTATACTTACATATATTAAATTATATTGTATAGTTCACATACTCTCTATAAACTATTATAGCAATAGTGGTTAGATACCAACTTTAAAAAATCATTACTTATTTTTATTTTATGTGTTCGATATCTGTCTGTGTATCTATATATATATATATATACATGCATGTATATGTATATGTATATATATATATATATATATATATATATATATATATATATATATAT